TTATTATCATTATTATTATTATTATTATTATTATTATTATTATTATTATTATTATTATTATTATTACAATCATCTTAAACAATGAGAAATGCATTTTAATATATTTTCACTTTTATATTCTACGAAATGTATACTATTTGATTTAATAATTCCGTTGTCTACTTTCTTTCATTTATTTCTAGAAACCTATCACATCCTCATAAAAACCATATTACGATATATTAAGCGTATCATTTTTATTATATTGAAGAAGAATTGACTTCTTTCATCTGCTCTTGATCGTTTAATATGAAACTAAAAATTTTTAATTCACATGAAAAAAAAATCGCGTGCAGCTATTAACATTCAATAAATCTTTTCTGATGCTTTAAAAAAAAAAAATAATAATAATAAAATTCAATGCCATATGAATTTAGGATGATAATATTTTATTTTAAGCAATCAGTACATCTGTTTGACGCAAAAGAGCAGATACCAACTGATTTCATTTTGAAGGTAAGTTGGTTTCAATTACCTACAATCTGACGCAACTTTTTTTTTTTTATTAAATAAAAAAAAAAATCTCCCAACTTTTAAGATTTGGGATATAAATTTATTTCCAGTGTTTCGTGTGATAATATTTATTTTTCAAATTTCAGAATTTATATACACAAAAACCAAAGGTGTACAAGTATTTTTTTTTTTATAATTGAAATGTGTGCTATAATTTTTTAGCAAATTTTTTTCTATTTTCAATCTCAATAATGGATTTATTGATATAGCTTTTGTTACTGAAATGAAGAAACTTGTTCAATCGCGTCATATATAGCCGAAAAAGTACCTTACCAAAAAACAATTGGACTGTCACGCACGTAGGATCAACGAGTTTTTCTTAATTTAAAAACAAAATATCAAATTTTCCTCTTTTTCTTTAGATAAAAATTTTCGTTTTTGAGTCTCGAAAAAATTAAATAATTAATCATTTCAGAATTTTTAAACAACATTACATTTAGTTTACGTCATCAGATCCTTGCATATTGTTTTGTTCCATCCTGCGTATTTGTTTTATGGCGAAAGTCAGTTTTGTCCGCTCTTTCTATGAATATGACTTGTCACAAAATAGGACGTGAAAAAATTTCTTTGATTTCTTAAAATAGTTAAAATTAATTAATAATTAAGTTATTCTTTAAAAGAAAAAAGAATTAAATATTCTATTCTAATTAATATTTTAACATATCAGAGAAATTTTTTTCTCAACGCCCTAAAATGTCAACATTGAATTAAACTCGAATTATCAATAAATAAATATAAATTTTTGTGTATATTTAAAAAAAAAAAGTTGAGAAATTCGAGTTTCGATTCAGTACGTGCAAAAATATTTTTAGGCCCTTGTCCGCTTGAATGACAAAGATATTGAATTATTCCTAACAGCGAGCATCGTAAATTTAATTGAAAAGGTAGTAATTTGAAAAGCACATTTCTAGTGCTTAGGGTTGAAAAGAAAATTTACACGCATAAACGCAAGTGAAAAGAGCGCAAATCTTTGCGTCGCGTCATTTGACGAGACGAAAAAAAAAACCTTCAATGAAATTGCATGCCTAAGTGTCTTTCCAGAATGCTCAGTGTTTCCTTCATCGTCTTTTGTATACATCAGGCTTGATTACGCCTAAGAAAAAAAAAAGTTTTTGATCCTTAACGATATATCCAACTAGACTTAAATGCAGTTATTTTTTATTTGACTTTCCTTTTGTTTTAAAAATATTGCATTTTCTTTTAAATTTACTCCTCACATTCATTTTCCTGTATTACACAACCATTTCCTTCATAAAAAAAAAAATAAATAAAATAGCATAATATGCCGCCACACAGTTTTTCCACTCGCCTGAAGTTTAATGAGACACGACTCAAGAAATTGGATAAAGAGCAATTTTCAATGAAAATTAATGGTCGCTTCGCCACCAAGGAGATGTGTAAGAAAAGAAGCGGAAGATGGAAGAAAACGGGGGCGAAGACATAAAGAGTGCAACATTTTTTTTAAATCCCTCACCTTTATAACGAGAAGATGGGCACGGACAAATGATTTGTGCTGTCTTATTAACGCATATAATATTCGTCTCGACATTCGCCAATGAAACGGTAGAGCGTCAGTTTTTTTTTTTTTTTAATCGTCTATTTTCTCGCGAGACCATCTATTGAAAATTTTTTACCTCGTCTTGGCGCTTGCGAGGTTTGCGTCTCCTTTCACTTGCGGATGCTCTTCAGAGTCTTCCTCCGCTTCCTGCCTCTTTTTCTCACGATAAACGCTTCTTTTTTTTTTTATTGAAATTTTTATCACTCGGTTCTGACACTCTTACACGTTTGAATGCTCTTATTATTTGTGACTTTTTTTTTTGCAATAAGGGAAGTTTTGTAAAGTAAATCTTTTTTAATTGAGCATATATTGAAAAAAAGAGAGTTGAGTGTCAAAATGTAAGAGAAAATTGGGAAAAAAGGGCAGGGTGTGGATTTTGATGAATGAGTGTGGGAGTAAATGGACAATCGGACAGGGCCACACGTGTTAAAAGTTGGTGTAGGTAAGTGTGGGGTGCTGCATGAGGTGCATTGTTGTGTTTCAGTGCTCGCCTCCATGCCAGGGCTGACGTTGAACTCGCTGAATACACCGTCGGCCAAGAAGCTCTTCACCTGCCAGCTGTGTGGCAAAGTGCTTTGCAGCAAAGCCTCCCTGAAACGCCACGTGGCCGACAAACACGCAGAACGACAGGAGGAATACCGATGTGTCATCTGCGAACGTGTCTACTGTTCGCGAAATTCCCTGATGACCCATATCTATACTTATCATAAGAGCAGACCCGGAGACATTGACATTAAGTTCTTTTGAAGGTTTAGATAAGGTAGGGCGCCACACACCTTTTTGCTAAGATTCGATTCTTCCAACTCCTATTTTTCACTAACTACATTTTTTTAAAAATCGATTTTCATCATGAAAAATTTTTTATTTCTAATTAAAAATTAAATCCGAAGATTAGGAGCTGGAAAAATCGATCTTCTCTTCTCGATATGTTTCTTCCTTTTCACCTACCTTCGTATCTATAATTGAAACTACTTAATTAATATTTTTCGGGATGTTTGGTGCCCCATCGAAGCGACCTCGACTCCTGCATAATAACAGGATCCTTTTTTCTTATTCCTCTTCCATGATCTGTTTCTTCTCTCCATACGGGAAATGCATGCATCACGAACCGGTCTGCGCATCAGGGTCAGAATACACCCTTCTCTCTCTCTCTCTCTCTCTCTTTCTCTCTCTTTTTTTTCCTCTTTCTTTAACACCTCTCCAATATATCTTTTTTGGAATTTAACTCCCACTTCAATTCTTGAACCTCTTTGGTGTTTCTCTCTTTCTTCCTTCCTTCCTATATTCGATATATACAGCGCTTGCCGGTTCTCGGAGGTCATTGCTCGGCTACTTCCGGTCTCAATCCCGTTATATTCCCTTCGGCGATCCGGCGACGATTTAACGGGTCATGACCAAAGAGCGAATTATCTGGGTCGAGAAAGAGGATGTGATGCTACTTTTGACCTTAGCACATTTGCCAGCGAAAGCAGTTATATAAAAAATTCAAAATAATTAAAACTAAATTTTTCTTTGCAAAAAAATTGTACTTGTTTTTTAAATTCTATTTTTATATTTAATTATAAAAGCCAGATAATTCGCTAATGGAAGTTGGCATTAAAAAAAATGGGGAAAAAAAATTGACAGAAACCCTTTCTCTTTATTGTTCTAAAACACCTTTTTTTTCTTTATAAATGTTAATAGGATCCTTTCTATCAGCCACACGGTACTTCTGCGCTTCAGGTTCCTACTAACCCAATCCTTTCCGCCTGGACTGCACAGCAGCGAACGTTAATGTCATTTCCTTCAACTATAAAAGGACAAAACAAAATTAATCTTATTTTCTATTATTTTTAATTCGACAATTAACGTTCGTATCTGCGCTTTTGAGATTTCCCTAATTTACATTCCTTTTTAACAATTTTGGGTTTAATTTTTATTTCTTTTTCTTATTTGCTTGTGTTGCATTTTTGTTTGCTTTTGATGTTCGATGTTGTGTGCATGATTAACTTAAAGTCTTTCACCTTGAAGGGTAGATTTACATTTTTGACTTCATCTTTAAAAACTTACTTTTTATTTACTCTTTAAATGATTTCTGAAAAGAAGTTTCAAAAAAAATTTCTATATAAAAAGGAAAAAAAAAACGAGTGCATGTTCTCGTTTTTGTAATTCTTTCAATTGACGATTATTTTCTCTTGTTTTTCAGTTGGAACAAGTATCATTATTTATTTATTGCACAATTCATTGTTATTGGTATATAAAATTGAGAATACTTGACGAAATAATTATTATTATTTTTCTTGTTTCAATTATATAATAATGCATAAATATTATAAATGAAAGAGGAAAAATTTATCTAATTGTTTAGTTGGGAAAATTCTCTAAATAATTTGAATTATGTAATCTATTATTGATATATAATTTCTATGCTTATTAACATTAATCAGCATGAACGCTTCTTTAAATTTTAATTTTCAATTAAAAGATATAAAAAAATATATCTAAATTAACTAACATTAATATTATTGTATTAAATAATATTTGCGATTTAAAAATGACGGTTATGCTTTTTAACAAAAAAATTATAAACTAATCGAAACTTACAAAATTTGCACTTTGAATGAATAATCCACCCATTTTTGATCTTCACTTGCATATACTAACAATTTAGTGGCTGATTTAATTCATCACTGACTTTAATAACGCGGGTTAGAGAAATCGAGGTCGTTTCGATACCCAATATATCGCTTTTTTCTGATTGATAATTTGAACATGAAAGTTCAATTTTCGAAATATTATTTGTGCCATTAAATTAGTTAAACAGAGGAGCCTGATGGTAAAATTTTGAAGAAATCAGACTTTTCTGTGGATGAGGTTGTTGTTTCGATTTTAAAAAGTATTCGATTTGCAGGTACGGGCAATGGGATGCATCCCGCACCGACGAAGCTTCCCTCTGCCGTGTACCGGATGCCACCACCGACGGCCGGTGGCATAAACGAGCCTCAGGAATGTCCTTACTGCCGACGTACTTTCTCCTGCTACTACTCGCTAAAACGTCATTTTCAGGACAAGCACGAGCAATCGGATACCCTCTATGTGTGTGAATTCTGCCAACGCAGATATCGCACGAAAAATTCACTGACTACGCACAAGAGTCTCCAGCATCGGGGCACCAGTGGGATGCTGAAAAGGTTGCTCAAGACCTCGGCCATCAACAATGTCCTTGGCAACATGCAACACGTGCAACTACAACAACAACCCCAATGAAAATGGTGGTATCATCATGGTCCCACTCATCATTATCATCATCATCATTATCACCACCATCATCAGTATCGTAATCAGTATCATTCTTACCGTCGTCATTTACAGCGGTAATTCTTTGAGTAGGCCATGATAGACCAGTTGTACGAAAAAGTCACTCCAATCGACTTTTTCGACTATGGCCTCACCTCGTCGGCTCCAGATCATCGAATCTGCGATTACGTCTTTTCGTTCTTCGATTATAACATTTCGTCAAGACTGCTTTTAATCCAAAGAAGAGGGAGCCATCAAACATGTAGCAAGCTTATTATTTTAAGAGTCAAATTGCAATTAGCAACATTCCATATTAAAATTTAATTCTTGGCCATATATCAATTATTGTACAGGATATGCACGCTTTTCAAATCAAAGATAATCTCTAGTTCTTTGGCTTAAGGAGACCTACGTCGCGAATTAGATTTATTGAAAAAAAAAAAAAATGGCACGACTGACAAATTATTATTATTATTATTATTATAATTATTATTATACTATTAAGTGCAAATTACAGAGAGCATACCAAAGTTTTGGTAGACTGAGTGATTGGTAGGTCAAAAAAAAAATTTTCGAAAAAAAGAAATTCAGCGTGAATATCTTGTACTGGAGAAAAATGCCAAATTGAAAATTGTGCATCTTTCTCTATAAATGCGATTCAGTTAAACATTTCTAAAATAATATTGTCCAAAAAAATCTTTTGCTGAAACAATCGCAGAAACTCGTGATAAAATTTTTTAAAACTATTTTTTTAAATTTGGAAAAAAAAAAAGTTTTTCTAATAACGTGATTGCCCAAACCGACAATCGAGGTCATGGTGCAGAGAAGGAGAATATATAAATAAATGTAAAAAAAAAGAAAAGACGAGCGTGAATCAATGCTCGCGTATTACAGTATATGTATATGTGTGTATAAAAAAAAACGCATAAAAGAAATGCATTGTGTGCACGATGGGAGCATAGTGTAAACAATATACATATTATTTTAGTAAAGTCAAGATTACGAAAGAAGGGGGGGAAATTAATAAAAAGAAACAAAATTAGGCAATACTATTCATTATCTTAGGCCTAAATGAAATTCAATTACAAAATCTGATATGCTCAAATTCAACAAAGTCTCACAAATCCAATACAAGAAAAAAGAATCGTTAGCATTGGATAGGATTTTTGGGAGGGTGATAAAATGGGTGGGATGGGGGTGGGAGTGTATAAAAAATATAAAAATTTGGGTTTTTTGATGATGATGATGATTTAAAAAAAAAGTATGGTGTATAGGTCCATTGCGCGCGAAAATTACAGACTATATTTTTAACTCTTTAAAAGTAATATTTTGAACTGTATATATACATAATTATATATTCCTACGATACTAACGCGAAACGATATTCTCTCGTTCAGGTTTTATAAGTGAAACTTCTTGACCTTATAGTTAAATCACAAAAACGAGTCGAACTATGAAAAATTTCGCTACCTTTTATTGTAGAATATTTCAAAAACTTTCAAATTAATTGTTTTATATTTAATCAATACAAAAGTTTTGCATATTTTTTTATTGACATTTAATTGAAAATGTTTGTCTATTTCCTACGTACTCTCTAATTTTGTATCATTAAAAAAAAAAAACTTGATTTAATTCAATTAAACAGTTCACTGAATGAAATGAAACTGATTTAGAAAGTACGATTAACATTATTTAAATTTTAAACGAAAGCTCAAAATTTAAATTTTCACTTAAATGTAGAATGTCTATTTATACCCTTCGATGTGTTTCTTTTAAATATCATTTGATTTTAAAAGATTAAAAAGAAATATATATATTAGAATATTTTCCACAGTTCGATTTAGTGAAAATTCATCCGTACAAGTGAAAAAACTCTAAAGTTGTTCACGGTAACATATTCAGGTTTAAATCTCAGAGTAGAAGGGAGTAAAAAAAAAATGCAGAAATTGATGTTTTATCACTTAAGCGCAAGGAAAATGCCATTACATATATACTATAACTAAAACATAACGTGGAGCAAGTACAAATTAATGACGAAAAGGTAGAACAGAGTTACATCTATCCTCTATCGTATATATGTACGTTTCGTATATAGAGTCAGAGAAAAATTTTGAGATAGTTGAGAGTATAAATGACGTCTTTTGAAAAAAAAAAAAAAAAAAAAAAAATGCCTGCGACGCAATGTTCGCTCGAAAAAAGGAGTAAAAAATTTATTTAGAAAAATCCAAAACTTCTTCGGACATATCTCTAAGCACGAAGTATACCGTGAAAATTATACGATTCTAGCATATATTAGTAGTCTTCATAAGCGGTGTCAAAACTCAAAGAATTTCGTTAAGGTATAATATTTATGTATATTATAAAAAAAAAAAAAAAAATAATATCGTCAATGCAAATGTCTCGTGCATAATGTGGAAAAAAAGGCGCGGTCATTAATTAAAAGTGAGACGTTGTATTTGTATATTATTCTTAAATTATTTCTTTCGGACTCCAATCGTTAATGAACGAGGGAACAATACATTTGCTAGTGAAATTGTACCTAGTCATTTTCGGGAATTCTGGTGATTCTGTGATATATTTGGTGAGAAAGGCAAATCTATGAGTGTAACGGGGGGAGGGGGTAAAAAAAAAAAAAGAAAAAAAAAATTAGTCCCGCATACATTCCACATTATGACGACAGGCGCATAGTTCTATGTATGTAAAATTATGTGAATTGGCTCTAAAATAATATTGGGAAATTCTGTGATGTTCTTCAGTTTTGTATACTAAAGGAAGAATACTGAAGTTGTTTAAAAGAAAAAAAAAAAAAAAAAAAAAACGTATACGGAATTACGTCGATGTTTAGTGTTGTACAAATTTTAAAACGACTGCACAAAAAGATCTTCCGACGGCTAAAAAAAAGTGTACGTTGGAAATCACAAAAAAGAAATCAAGACAACCGATTCTGCTGATGAAAAAGATATTTTCTTTATATTTTATTGGAAAACTTTTCGACTGAGTATAAATTACAACGAACTCGCTTATATTATTATTGATGAGAAAAGACTTTGAAAAAAAAAATCGGCACGATACCAAAGGTGAATTGACTGTTCTTTTTTTTTCTTTTCTTCTTTATTCGAGAAAATACCAAAGTTTATTAATTATTAATTAGGTTTGGGTGAGAAATATGCATCGAATATTTATCAGCAGGATCAGTTGTCCCTCTATATATATGTCGTGATTAATTTATGCAAGTTTCGACTAACATATCTTTCCAGGGTGCATTTGACCCGCCGTCTGTTTAAACATAATTAATATCAAAGCGAAATTATAGTGAAGATATATTAATATAAAATCTATGATATACTAATGTGCCAACAATACCTTCAAAATTGCAAGGGAATTAGGTCTTTTACTATTTACACTGAACGTAGATAGAAATGCGTCATATCTTAAAAAAAAAAAAAATAATAATAACACGATGTCATAATTTCTTGACAGTGGGCGTCAAAAATGAAAATCTATTGCGTATTAAATATTTAGGATTTCTTTAAACTCTAATGCATGGATTTTTTTTGTCTCGTACATTAAGGGGGAAAGAACTCTGGGAAAGGAAATATTTTCATCTAATCTATTTTTCTTTTTTGCAATTTATATTGTAAGGTGTACATAATGAAGTACCCGTAAGATGAGGGATAGAAACAACTGACTTTCGTAGAAAAAAAAAAAAGAAGGAATAATTGTGAGCGTAAATCTAACGTTGTTTTGCAATTTGATTGTAAACATGATTGTGTTATTTAAGAAACTTTATGTTTTATAAATGTTGACCTCGAGCTTTTGTTAAAGAGGAATTCACTTTATTTTCTGGAAAATAAAAATTTTTCACGCACAAAATTAATGTCTTTTTCACAAAAATTCGTATATAGATGTGTATATTTCAAGATTAAAGTGAATTCCTCTGGACGGTGATGTTCAGATTGTAATTTGATTATAAAAAAAATAGCGGGCCTGATGTTTTGTTATTAAAATTTTTTTAGGGAATAACTTGGTATGTAAGACAGTTATATTTAAGTTGATTTTTGATTATGGGTTAATTTGCATTTGAGCCGGCAGCTGATGGAGCTCAAGTTAATTTTCCTGGCGCTGTGAAGAAACTACTTTGATATGCGAATTTACTTTCGAGAAGGCTGATTTTATAATTTTTAAATATCAGTTTAATTAAGGCAATGAAATTTATTTCTATTTTTTCTTGACTTTTATTCCTAATTTAGAGGAATCGACTGATTAGACTGTCTTTGATTGGTTTAAAGTTTTCTTATATTGATGTGATATTAACGTACCAAAGAAACATTGGAAAATCGTGTACCTTCTCAGACCTAATTTTGACTTTAAACGGTACGGTAATTATTATTTTTTAATTTTTTCTCTTTTAAAATACAAAATTATTTAATTTGCCTACATTTTTTTTTCATTTAAATCGTTAATTTCTTCAAAACTATCGGGTCTGAGAATGAGTTTATAATTTTTTAAGAAAAAAAAAAAAAAAAAAAATTCTTCCAAATCAAAAATTTTTTTTTCTCTTTCGAAAACAAACAAAAAGAAATAGAAAACGTAACAGAATGAACTATGGAAGGAAAGAGATCATTTAAAAAAATAAGAAAATATAAAAAAAAACAATACGTCTTCGAATCGAAAGCTTAGGAAATTTAATTATGAGAAATTGTCGAAGATAGGTGAGAAAGACTACTTAGATTTATTTTTATTATGTCTTCAAAAAGACTTTAAATATAATATTTATATTGTGCCATAACTAATATTAACGAACCTTAAGTATAAAGTAATTGTTATGAAAGTTTTTAAATTTATCGAATGGGAAAATTGCAAAAAAAAAAAAAAAAAAAACACAGGTATCGCTACTGTCTATGGGTGTAACTAATTGTACTATAATTAAGAAGTACGCGTCGTCTGATAAGTCAACTGCATCATCACGTTTACATATATTAACAAGAGAAATTAGAGTTTAAAAATCATCCGTTTACACTCTTCATCTATCAACTTCCATATCATGTTTTTCCTTATATCAGAAATAACTAAATCGTATCACTGATTTAATGGTTTGTTTTACTTGTTGTAGAAAGTATGTGTTTTACTCAATTAATACATATTATGTAACAATACGCAGGGTAATTGTGCGGAAATTTCTTTTTTCTTTATATATATATATAAAACCAAAGGCAATTATTGAAAAAATAATTACTAAATAAAGAGAAAAAAATAACATATCAAAATTAAATTGAATTCTACAACAAATAATTATACAATTTAAAAAATTAAATCAGTTAAAAATATTTTTTTGCTAAAAAAACGATTAGTTGTTTCTTTTACTTTGATGTACAAACAACAAACAACCGTATTGTCCTGTCAAAATGACATAAGCGAGATTTTGAAAGGATCCTGATCCTAATAAGAAAAAGGGTAGAAAAGGCAGAAATGCTCTAGTATTTTAATTACACGTATCGTCAAGTGTTTAGTGAGAGAGAGAGAAAAAGAGAGAATGAGTGAGAAAATGAGAGTGAGAGACAGAGAGGTGAAAGGAGAGGATGAATTTGCAAGGATCAAATTTTAATGATCAAATTTATCATACAATTATTTCCATGTCTTCAGCGTACTTTCTTGTAATATAGTGTATTGTGTATAATTATAGCTGTTTCGACAAACCTTATTTAGACAAAAAAAAAAAAAAAAAAAACAACTCATTGTCAATGAAAATCGTAAATTACGATAAAAAGAAAAAAATTGCTTTCCTTGAAACCTCTCTTTCAAAACTTTTGTACATTATTTCTTCGCACGATCATACCACACTTTGAATCATATTCACAAAATCATCACTTTTTTCGTTCACGTATATAGTATAAAACTCCAATCGGAGAAACACCCTTTTGTCGCGTGCATATATAAATATTACACCTAGATTATTAAGATCATCGAAAATAGAATGTCACGTATTAATTACTGTTTACGTTTTATCACGATTATGTTTTAATTTTAATTATTGATTCCTTATCATTCAATTGAGGGGTAGTTCAATTTTAGTTGGTATACATGTACGATATAGAGACTATGGGTCAATGGCACGTTATGTTAATTTTTATGTACATACGTATACATATTATATATTATATATTATATATATAAAATAGGCCTATTTTCTAAGGTGTCTCATTGGTTCTTTATTATTAATATTATTATTATTATTATTATTATTATTATTATTATTAATATTATTATTATTATTATTATTATTATTATTATTATTATTATTATTATTATTATTATTATCAAGTTACATTACGTCCGCTCTCGAAGTGATTGTTGAAATATGTTTATTATGGAACTTAACTTTTAATTATTATTATAAATTTTATCATAATTTCGGATTTTAATTTTTAAAAATTGTTTAAAACCAACGACGCGAATATTTTCGAGACAAAAATTGTTTTATTATTATTATTTTAATATCTAATTATATTGTTTCGTGTTCTTTCGTCTCGATGAATGTTCTGCCTTGTTGGCAAATTATTATTTTTTTTTTCTTTTCTTCCTTTTTGTCATGGATCATAAATTCCATGACTTTGATGGAATCAGTTTTAACCCCGCATTTAAGTGATATTTTTCCCCCACTCATTAAAAAGCAGGAAGACAACTAAATAAGAGATAAAGCCGGCTGTAGACAATTTGGAAAAATCCCTATATTTTATTATATCGTGTTTAAAAAAAAATTTTTTCTATTTTTAAAGTAAAAAAATATATGTCTTCAAATGATTTAAATATTAAATATAAAAAGATTAAATTGTTTATTTTATAAATGAAAATATTTTTTATATTCATTTTCTCTTTTTTTTTTATTGTAAATAAAATTTCGAGATTTTTTCGATTTAAAAAAAAAAGTCACAGTCCGACAAATTTATAATGTAACAAAGTGCAACACGCTGCCTTGCTGAACAGTACAAGTACAAAACGAATACAAATACATAAAACATGTCTTCGATTTAAAGAAAAAGAAAGAATTTCTGGTAGTTAAGGTATCAAAAATTGTTAATGGTAAGGTAAATAAAAAAAAAAAAATAAAAAAAAAAAGAAAGCAAAGAAAATCTCCGGTAGCAACGCCGTATGCGTTCTTCACAAATATACCTCAGTTGCCGAGACCTCAGAACCTGCGCATTGTCTGTACTTCAGTTTGTTCATTACAAATTTCGACCATTTTTCACTTTTTCAAAATGATAGAAAAATGTCTAGTGAAAAAACTCGTTTAATTTTTGCATAAAATTGATAAATTTTTATTAAATGAAAAAAAAAAAATAAAAGTGAAAAATGGTAGAAAAATAAAAATATTATACTATGGTGGTAATTGCGAAGTTGGCTGGAAGCATTTTGTACAAGTTAATAAAATTAGTATGGACGTCGATCGTTCCCTCATCGATAATGAAAGTAAAAATTAATTGATTTTAAGAAGAAGATCGTCTACTTATGTATTTAACACTGCCAAAAGATCAAAGCAATGTCCGATGAACTTTGCCTGCGATCGAAACTCAAAAACTTGTCTTCGCAATCCACTGCTAAATAAAAAAAAAATCAGATGTAGTTTCTCTATGTATATGTCCATATTTCTCTTGTAATAGTGATCATTCTCTGAGGTCCGGCAATAACAGATTCTCATCTTTAAGCTACAATAGTTGTTGTACTTACGTCTCGTATTTTATCAAACACTGTCTGGACAATTTTCCATCATGATTGTTTCTTGTACCACTAAAAATATATCTCGACAATTTCTATAACAAAAGTATGAGAGTAGGGAAAGGAAGAAAAGAATAAAAGTCTATTATTATCAAAAGAAAAAAAAAATTGATCTCAATTTCCGAGAAACAAACGTGATTCTAAGGTTGCAATTAATGTTTGAAGACCTTAAAAAATGTTTCTGGAAATGAAATATTTATTTTTTGTTGGTACAAGTCTGAATCCTGTTGGAAACAGCAGTCGCCATATAATATTATATTTTACAGAATATAAATATATTGTTCCGTTATCGCAATTATCATTCGTGTAACATACTCAAGCGGTTAATTAATTAACGATCAAGATTCTTAAGTGAGCTTTGTAACAATCAGCTTCTGCCAGATGTCCATATAATTCTAATGACTCATTAATCGCCTGCCGTCGAGGTTCATTGATTGAGAATCACTGAACGCATAAATCTGCCGGTTTTTTTTTGTTTCTCGACAAAAACAGACTGCCTCGACTGTCTTCATTAAATAATATCGAGTAGAGACTGGATTTTATATCATTGTGGCGATAAGGATTCTATATTTTCTAAGAGATTTCCCTTATTCAAAACTATACGCGTCCAGTCTCCACTCGGGGAGAAACAGCAATTTTTGATCGCAATAGCCACTTTTTTATATAGAAACATATTGTATAATCGAGCATTCCAAGTATCGGCGAAAGAAATATGAAATAGAATGATGTTGGTTCAAAGTTGAAAATTATTAGGAGAACACAAAATCCGTGAAATAAAAAAAAATAAATAATAAAAGAAGAAAGAAAATGGCGCTTATTATATAAGCATGCACGTTTAGTGCTGCGACTTTTACGAAGTGGTGAGAGACAATTAGTTGAACGCGGCGATAGGCATGGATCGTATTCCGTGCCTGCATCTTTAGGCTATTATAACAATTATACGATATTATAATTAATATATATATATTATATATAATTATATATTATTAAAAATAAGTGTTTATTCGCATTTTTAACATGATAAGGAATTATTATTATAAAAATTCAATAATAGTTGTTGGTGTAATATTATAAAATAAATCTTTAACGATATACATATGACTCTTTATTACCCATTCTTTATTTATTCATTCTTTCAAACTAAATAATTAGTTAGGAAAAGAAACTTCGTTGCTTAGGGGCAAAATGATGTCAATTCAGATTAGTTTTAAGAAACATGCCATTCCAAATAAGATGTGAAACAAGTAGGGGGTCCTTTATGTTTATTTCATAAACATTATGCTTCCTCATTGTGTGAAGCAAAAAATTCGCTTCCTCGTGAAGGAAGCAATGAATTTGTCCAATTCAATTGATTGATTTAAAAACTTTCGAATTAAAAATGTTTTAAATTAATTAAATTTTTTGAAAAATAAAGAAAATTTTAATTCATTTTGAGTGTAACATAAACTTTATATATACGAATCGATTCGTTTTAATGCAAGGAATACAATTATTTTATTCATCAACTTGAATTTAAAAAAAACACAAAATTTTTTAACTAAAATATGAATTTTTGATTTTTCAATTTTTATTAATTCTCAAATTTTAAATCAAATCTATACTTTATATATAGCAACCAATTCGTTTCAATGCAGGGAATAAAATTATTTCATATATAAACATGAATTTAAACAAACACATCATTTTTTAGCTAAAATGAGAATTTTTGATTTTTTAACTTTCTTTAATTATTTAAATTTCAATCAAATCTATACTTTATATATATCAATCGATTCATCTTGACATAAAGAAGACGATTATATTATATATTACCTTAAATTTTTCGATTTAAAAATTTTTTCAATTAAAAAAAATTTTTTGGAAAAAAGACGATAAAATTTTTTTTTTGGGTATTTTTAAAAATCCTCTCGTCATTTTTGAGAGATTAATGTGTTAAATAAGCCTACCAAATTTTATCCAAATCCATTAAAACCTGTTAAAGATATCGTGTTCACAAAAACGATCCACACACACATACACACACACACACACACACACACACACACATACACACACACATACATACATCCGGACAATTGATCAGGATCTCATATAACATGTTTCTATATAGAGGAAAATTTGTTTTCACCATTTTTAAAAAGTTTATAAACGAAAGGACTACATAGCTTCCTCCACGAGGAAGCAACATGCCATTTAAATTGTCAAATTTTTTTTCATATTTTAGGTTCACAAAAGTAAACCAAAAAGTTGATTAACGAAATTAATTCGTTAATGAAAATGAAGTTGAAGCCTAAATTGTTAATTTAAGATCATAATTTTACAGATTTCTGTTGTAACTATATACTTTTCCCAACCTATGAAATATGTAAAAAATTTGACATTTGAAATGGCATGTTTCTTGAAACTAATCTGAATTGGCATCATTTTGACTCCAAGCGACGACTTGTTCATTTTTATTAGTAGTAAAAGGTACTTTTAGTCAGACATCGACTTGATATAATCGTATTTCAATTTGATGAATTAGTGGAAAAAAAGGACACCTCATAGTTAAATCAAACGAAAATGTTCGAATAATAATCGCATCTCAATTTCCGTTTAATATAATCGAGGAGCAAGTTTTCAAAACCTGATAAATCCATATTTTCTTATTTCGAGAAATTCAAACAAATGACTTTCCACACATAACCACTAGAGTTAATTTTAAAATAAAAAATTTATAATAATTTATTTCTATAACAATGTTTTTATATTCAAGACATTATGTTTCTAATTGAACTTTGTCATAGTATTGAGTGATTTACAGGTTTTGGTAATTTTTTCTAATATAAAACATACAAATTGTAAATCATCTTGGTTATGTCAATAAGTTTTTAAATAAAAAATTTGTAATTAATAAATTTTTTTTCTTAAATTTAACAGTGACAGATCGATTTGTGAGGTCCTTAAAATATTAAATTTATGGTTATCTCCATTTTTTAAAAAAATGGATTTATCAAGTTTTTAAAATTTGCTCCTCAATCGTATCTCAAATTTTAATACATGTTTTGAAATCTAAATTAAATAAATAATCTTAACATATAAGAAATATTATCAGTTAATTATAATTTTAAAATGGACTGAATTTTATTTTATTATATTATTTTGTTACTTACTTATTTAATTTAATTATTTAATATTATAGGGTAAGTGCATCAATTACGGCGCGTTCAGAAAAAATAGCTGTTATATGTAATATAATTATTGCAAAATGATTTAATAAAATTATTTTTATCTTTTTTTGATACAATTAATAATAAAAACACATTTAAACAATTATTAATTTAATTATTTGAGATCATATTTTTTCCCTCGCTGTAATTGAAACATTTTTAAGATTTTCATTGGCTCGAATTAAGGTGGGCAAAGTATCTTCAAAATACACGTAATTTTGATCACCGTAATTGATACAAACGCGCCTTAATAGAAAATTACGGTATTAATTTTAATTTATCATACTTGTTTAAATAATCGATTTTTATAAAATTGAAATTTTTTTTGAATATCTAAATAACATAAGCTTTTAGTTTGATAAGTCTTAAATTGACTTTCTACAAAAGAAATGTCGAATTTTCTATTTCAAAGGTATTTTAACGCCGTAATTAGTGAATTTACCTTATTTCGCATCGAAAAGTTTAAAAACAATAAAATTTTTTATTGAAATATTAAAAAAAATATTCCAATTAAGAGAATTTCTTTATACTTAAAATAAAATATTAGTATGTATGAATTTAATTTTTTCAACTTATTATTCCTAATAATTTAAAATTTATGTAAGTAAACAATTTTTATTTTACAAAAACTTAAGTGAGAATTACAATTATTATGTTTAAATCTGAAAAATACGATTATATCAACAGGAGGCGATAATGATTATAATTCTTGTAAATTTAGTATATCAGTAGTACTAAACTGATTTAATCAGACGTAGATTTAAGAATCCATACATTTTTTATCAGTAGTACATAAAATTTTTGGTCAGATAATTTTAAACATTTTTTTAAAATTCATAATGAGTAGTACAAGGCACTTTTAGTCAGACGTAACGTTTTATTTGGAATTCTTGTAAATTTATTCAGAGTAGTAAAAAACACTTTTAGTCAGACATAAAGTTAAAACTTGTTATTTTAGTACACTTTGTTAATTACATCCTGTTAATTCAGTAGATCAAGAGTTTATTCTGTTTTCCAGTACACTCAGAGAAATGGTATATTTGTCTCCGAGCCTACTAACTTATTTATTTGTTGCAAATATATTTTATTTCATTGAAATAAAAAATTTATTTAAGCCAAAGAAAAATTTATTTCTGACAAACAATATTTTTATTAACGCCAAATAAATAAGTTAGTAGGCTCTGAGACAAATATACGTTTATTTAAATCAAATATATTTTATTTGGTTCAAATAAATCATTTCTCTGCGTGTAGTAAAACACACTATTAGTCCGTCAGAACGTTTAGCATTCGTGTAAATTTATTCTGCTTAGTAAAAAAGACTTTCAGTTGAACAATATACTTTTTTTCAATAAAGAAAAAGGAAATCAAAAGAATGTTAGATAAATCTTCTATCAATTCAACTTTTCCAAGAATAATCATTCAAGTTTTGCAGAAAGTATTCTTATCGACCATCAAAAACCTTCATATTTACCGGAAGTAGGTTATTCAGTTTAAGTAATAGTAATAGTTTAAAAATAAAAAATTCAATTTATGAAAAAATGTGCTGTACTTTTTTTGTGAGTATATTACATAAAAATCAGTAAGATCGTAAAAAAGAGATTGTGAAATCTGCTGGAAAATCTGTAACACACTGAAAGAATATTCTGTCACTTTTCTGCGTGCACTATCTTTAGAGATTGAAATAAAGTCGTTCAGAATGTTTCTTAAAGTTGTACGTGCAAAGAATTCTTATTAAACTTTTATTTCCGAAGAAAAATTGTTATAGGTAATCGTAATAATAAATTTTAGATTTTCCAATGACATTCAAAAGCATGACTTTCAAATTACAATGGAGTATTCTTTTTTTTTTTATTATTTTATTAATTGCTTCTTTTAATTTTATTGAGTAGCATTCTTTCTCTATATTCATGCCACAATTTATTTGATTAAATTAACCATTGCAATTGACTTTGAAAACTACAAGGTTAGTTGTCTCGTAAAATGACTGAATTTTCATTTGTCCTTTTTTTTCTTTTCTTGGAGGGAAAATTAATTTCTATATAATTTTTTTCAACTGAAATATTCCATATTAGCGTATCTAAAATAAAAAGTGAGGCTGTCAATATTCTTTTAATACACTACCATAGCTGTAATTATAAATTACACATATTTATTTTTAAATAAAAAATCTGTCCTTAGCTGAAATTCTTCTAAGGTGAAAAAAATGTACATGCGCACATACACGCATGTTCCCATGAAATGTACATGCGCAAAGTATGGGGTGGGTTTCTATGGTCTCTAGAAAACTGCAGACGCTCGACAACCGCGTCTACGTAGCTTTGCAGAGATATTTCTCTTTTTATCTTTAATCAAAATTTCGTTATAAATTTCCATAAAAATAATCATTTTTTTTTCAGGAATCTAATAGAATTTTTTCATAGTCAACATTTTATTTTTAAAAAAACAATTTTAAATTAAAATCCGAAACTTAAATCTCCTTGCTAAAGGAAAACCACCTGTAGTTAAGGACCACACATTTGAGAATTCAAAAACCATATCCGTCCGCTGTGTTCTTCTTTCCGTTTCCGGTCCCGGTTTTATTTTCAGTGTTGGATTCATATTTATATATGTAAAAGTAGAAACTTGCAAAATATAAAAAAAAAATTCTCCAGTCTGTATTTAAAAATATTCTGTCAGGATTACCACCAATATGAAGACGTCTTCTTTTTCTCTACGAGTGATGCGCCGGGTAAGTTTTTTATAAAGTAATTTTATTTTTATTTATTTATTTAATAATTTATTTTATTTTATATTATTAAAAATCTTTTAATTATTTCATTTTTAATTTTATGATTCAAAAATGTTCTCTCCTTTATTTCAAAATCATATACCTATTCTTAAAG